AAAAAAAAAAAAAAAAAAAAATGAGGACATCTTACAGTTGTCTTACTCAAGGAGGACACACCAAGAGAATAGTTTCTATTAGAAATCCATATATCACTGGGTGTTAGAAAGAAGTTTAGTAACTTAGCCAGGCATTGCCAGAATTAGCAGCAGGAGTTTTCAGAGGCTGAAGGACTTTTCTTAAAAACTATCCATATATTCTCTCCTTTCCCACTTCAGTTATAAGACATCAAATCCTGTTGCCATCTCTCCCAGAGTTGTAGTTGGAAACACTAGGCATCTTCTTCTTTTTTGATGACAATCATCTCGACTTAATTCAGAAAAGATCTGTGCAAACGTGCACTGAATCTAGATTAAAATATCATGGCAAACAAGCTCCAGAACTTTATTAGCGATTATGGCCAATTATTTTCAAGGTTAAACTTCATCTTCTTTTCACTGTATCCTTCAATAAAGGTTGAAGTTGCCCTTTGGGTCTCTCTTGTCATTTGGACCCAGTTCATTGTTCTTTTGTAGCCTTAGTTTTTTTCCTCTTATTTGGTGGACAGGAAAGGGACCTGGGGAATGTGCTGCCGAAGCTGTTATGGAAACGAAGGAAATGTTGCAAGTTTGCCCTCACTTTAAAGAGACTCCTCCCACTGTCCCATCAAATCAGTACAGAGAATAGAAAGGTTTTACTTATTAATATGTGAAATGCTCCAGAGGAAGCTCCAAATATAGGAAAAGCAACATGCAACCAAGAATAAGTAAAATCCTCTGACCACCCTGACAGTTTCTTTAAGGAACAGAGGAATGTGGGCCCCCAGCTCCTCACCCCCTGCCTCCGGCCCTCGATCGTCCTGGGGTACACAATTCTTCTTTTCCTGCTGGCTTCACTTCCTCTCCCTTGAGCCACACCACTCAGATTCGATATTTTCAGCCAATGGGGCGGACTTCTATGGCCCCTTTTAGGACCTGCGGCTCATGATGACAGATGGTTGGCAGCATCTTCGGGCAGGCTGGCGACCCTTAATAGTGCATCCTGGGCTCGTGGAGGAGAGAAAGGTAATTGGCCCAGGTGGGAATTGAACCCCTGGCCTCATCAGCACCTGGCCAAGAATTGAGCCAACGAGCAGGTAATAACTGGCCTGAGAAAATCGGTTCCTTAATTAGGAACAAATGGCTGGTCTGGATGTGAGAAACCTGAGTTTCCAGAATTATGCTCTTGAAAGGCATAATAAACTCTAGTCTGGATGAAAAGTGTTTTCTCATCTCCGTGGGTAAAGCTGCTATATGGGAACAAAGAAGTATTTTTAAATGATAGCTTTTCATTCTTTCTTCAGTCTTAGTTAATTTGAACAGGAGCCACAGTGAGCAACCCACAGTACATTTAGAATTGGCAGAAACCCAGATGAGCTTGTCTTCCCACGTTGCCCACACTATACCATGTATAGTCATGAGTTTATGATGTAAAATGTGTAATTCATAAACCAGCTTTGATTTGTGTAATGAGGTTTTGCCAAAAGAAGCCAAGTAAGAATTAAGATTCCACATTCCCTAAACGTCCCTCTACCCAGGCGCTACTTTAGACACAATTCATGGGGATAATACATTTAATTGTTAACATTAGTAAAAATATACCTGAGTCATATCAGAGTGCAAGTTATGTCAATATAACAAAAGGACCCCAAAATATAGTGGCTCCCCCAAAAGAGGAAGTTCATTTCTCTCTTGGGGACAGCTGTGGCTTTCGAGCATTAACGTGCTCAGTCAGAATCACCTCAGACTTGTCAAAGCGCAGGTTGCTGTGCCTCACCCCCCAAACACTCCAGATTCTGATTCAGTGGGTCAGGATAACCTAGGAGTTTGTCTTTCTAATTAGTTCCACATGATGCTGATGGTTTGTTGGGAATGGAGTTACTTCAAGTATCAGACTTCAGCATCACTTACTACACGTGCTTAAATCTTTCTAATATTTTTAAAAAATATTTTAAAATATTTAATTTTTTCTAATATATTTTTAAGTTGCTGATTTCTCTGCTCCAGGTTCTCAACATGAAGGAAGGAACCCCCAGCTGAACCAACAAGGACAGCCTCTCTCAAGCTAAACCAAACCCTTGAGAATGCATTCCACGGGCATCAACTCTCCTGGATCACCCACCAGATTTCCTTTGTGCAAAATACTTAACTATTCTTGTATCTTTCAACCTTGACTAAATTCATGGTTTTCAAGCAGCATCTTCTGGTTTGAACTTGTTTTCTGTGAATAATTGTCCGTGAAGAGTCTTCCAATTAACGCTCTTTGAATCTAGGCTATGTGTCAGGGTTACGTTCCAGTCCCCCACCTGTACCATTCACATTAAAAGCTTAAACACATTGTCGAGAGGGCAGGTAATTCTCCTGTTTCAATTCCAAATGAGAGGACAGTGTGGCAGAGATTAGTAAAAAAACTTGACAATGAGCTTGTGTGCTCATTGATGAAGGCAGGCTGAATTTTTAGTTCTGGCCACTCGCTGAATCCTTGCAGTGACTTACCGACTTTCTAGAGGCTACTGCTAGAAGCTCATCCTCTATTATTACCATCAGGTGGACTAAGTTGGAGGTACAGGCTGGCCTGATTCATCACTTAACGGCTCCCATTTCTTCAGCCCTAACCATGACCAGATGTTTTGCTGAGGTTATTGAAACCCTCCTCAGAGCAGTCTGATAAGCTGAGAATAAACACTCACCCAATAGATGAGGAAACTGTGGGTTAGAGAGGCCAAGTGACTTGTCCAAGGTCACATAGTAGATGGAACCAGGATTCAAACATCCAAAGCCACCAGATTTTTTGCAGCATTTAATAGTTTCTACAATACCTCCCTTTCAGTAAATTTAAGTAGCACAGTTTCTTCAAATTTTCATTTCTGGCCTTGGAGTAGTTTCCACAGCTGGATTTAGTCAGGTCCATGGCAAAAGGAGAAGATACATTCAGGAGATTCCCTTCCATTTTCAGAGAACGTGGATTGGTGGTTCGTAGCGCTCACCAGTCCCACATTTGTCACGACATTCACATGATGTTAACAGATTTGAAAGCTTCTTGCCATATGCTTAGATTTCCTTCATTTAGGGAAGTCACATTTGAAACAGTAAAGAGATTTATCCTGCTCTTGTTTTGATTGTCAAAGAACGACATGAGATGGGTTCTTTCTAATTTCTTATAAAACCATGTTGATTCACAATTGATACAGAGCCAGACCCAGGGAAATATGTGAAATGTGCTTCAGCATCTTTCCACCTTCTACCTCTGGGACTCTCCTGGGTCTCTTTCCCAAGAACTCAATCCTGAGCTGTGTCAACTAACGTCTGCCATCCAGGTAATGGTGGAGGGGAAAGCCCTGTCAGAGGGATTCGCCCTCCGAAGGACATGGATGGTTGGCACTTCCAGCGGGCAGAGGAAGGCAGGGCTCTAGAACAACCCCATCCAGACTGACACTTGTTTGGCTGTCTCGTGAGAGTAGATGTGACCGGCCCTGTGTTTTTAGCTGCAATCATTTTTTCTCCATGAGACCTGACCGAGAGACAGGAACAGCTCACTCAAACCTCCTGACCTTCAGAGCTGCTCGGTACCAAGCCCAGGAGGGCTTAGAATCCCTTTATTGAAGAGCTTTCTTGAACCCTTGTTTGCAAGAGAAGTCCCATCATGCACCTGTGTGTGCCTGTTTGGTTAGGCCATTTTTAGCTGTGGATGACAGGATCGATCGACCTTGGGTTAAGTAGGAAAGGACAACTTTATGAGAGGATAGTAGGTGGGGAAGACCAGGGAAAAGATCTCAAGGCTGAACTTGCAGGTTCAGTGCTCAAAGGCAGGCCTCTGATTGGGTTGATGAGATGGCAACTGCAGACATTGCTACCTCTCAAGCATTCCGCACAGCTGCCTAAGTTGGCACTGCCTTTCAAGGCCTCCGCCTCTACCTGTGCCCACAACATGAGGCCCCCGAAAGCTGCTTCCACCCTTGGCTTACTTCCAAGTCAATCTTTAATGTCTGTGTCTGATTGGTGGAACCTGCATCACATGCCTGTATGGCTCAGTGGTTAAAGCATCAGCCCTGGGACTGAAGGGTCCCAGGTTCGATTCTGGTCAAGGGCACGTACTTCGACTGCAGGCTCTATCCCTGGCCCTGGTTGGGGCGCATGCGGGAGGCAACCAATCAATGTGTCTCTCGCACATCGTTGTTTCTCTCTCTCTCCCCCTTCCACTCTGTCTGAAAAGCAATGGAAAAAATATCCTTGGGTCAGGATTAAAAAAAATAAAAAGATTCTACTTTGTAGGATGGAACTAAAATTGTGGGACCCTATAAAAAAAACGAGTTGTTCACAAGATATGGTCAGCCACAAATAATATATATCTTCTCCCACTTTTGCCCTTACAAAGAATTTCGTTGTTGATTTTTGCCTGTTGCTATTTTAGAGAACAGTCAGAACCCAGCCGGGGATTCTGGGAAAGCAGGGCCAGGTGTGTGCACACAGCAAGAACAGAAGGTTGCTTTTAAGAGGTAACAATACTTAGAAATCCTTGTAAGAAAGCAGGGTAATCAGGGGGGATAATCCAAAAAGGAAGGAAGCAATATCCCCTTCAAAGGTGTCCCTTTTAAAAGCACAGTCTTTTTTGTGTTGAGTGCTACAGGTAATTTGGCAGCCTTTGCTTATGATCAGAGGCTCAGTGACACACCACGCAGGCACTTCAAGCTGAGGTATAATTGCCAGCCCCACAATGCCCACTTTTCAGTTCCTACTGGGGTCATTTGATCATTCCAGAGCATTTTTACCAAGCTGTACTTTGCAGGAGTAACGGAAATAAGATGTGGGATTTACATTACTCATGTCCTCGGCCACAGGCTGCTTTAATCAGACTCTGTGAAACAGTGCTTCAAGGGCAAGCCACAGTTAGGAACTAGTGCCATTCCCAGAGCGCATGGACTGGAGCCATTGTGACACGTGCACAGGAAATACTCTAATATAATGATAAAAAGTGTAATGTAGTAAATATATAAACCGGTAACATAGCTGTTTATTCTCACTACCAAGTATCCTGACTGTACATACTTGTGGGTGCTGTGCTTTTGTATGACTGACAGCTCAGTCATCACCACAGACATGTGACTGATGTGCTGCTCTGCAAATCACCAGCAGCTGCAGTGTCACTAGGCCATACGGATTTTTCAGCTCCATTATAATCCTATGGGACCACCATCGCAAATGAGGCCCCTAGTTGACCGAAATGTTTTTATTTGGATGGGAAAGAGACTATTTTGTAGACCTTTAGGAATTAACATTGCATCAGTTAGGATACATTTGGCTGTTAGTAACAGAAAACCCTCAACTCAAACTGCCGTCAAAGATTTAAAAAAAAAAATTACTGTCTCAAATACAAGGAATCCTGAGGGAGGTGGGATTCAGGTTTGTTTAGTTCAATTTAATTCAGTGACTCAAATATACCCTCAAGTTTGATGGTCTTTCCAGCTTCCCACTCTGCCACCAGAGGTTCAGATTTGTCCTTAAGATGATTTCTCTCATGGTCACAAGAAGGCTGCTGGAGCTCGAGGTGTTGCATCCAGACGAGACAACATTCAAAGGAAGCAAAGAGGTCATCGCTTTTTAGGCTTCACCTTGTTAATAGCTATGAGTCCTTTCCCAGAGGCCTCTAAATCCCTCAACCTCAAGAAGCAGCTGAGTCACAGGCTTGCCCTAAACCTATCACTAATGAAGGGAACCAGACCACTGACCTCACCCGGTTAGGATTTACCAATGAGCCCTGTGGGAGGAAGGACAGAAACCTAAACAAAACCAAGGCGCTCTGAATAAGGAAGGAATGTGAAGCTGATTTGGGATGGAGGCCCAACCAAGACAGCAACTGGCATGGAAGTCATTTCTTGTGACCTCCCGGAACCCTGGATCTATTAGTACAGCAGTTTCAAAAATTAGTCACTGCTATTAAGTGTGAACATGTGGGGTTTTATCCATTCTCAGATGCTCATGTAAAGTCCTTTTGATGATTTTATGACCATGAGTCCTTAAGAGCAAGCAATTGTCCCTTCCTCTTGCTCAAAACACTGACGCTGTGATTGCGGTTGGAAGGCCGCTCCTCTCTCTTGTCTGGGCCTCTCTCACCCTTTACTCCTTTCTTTGCCTTACAAGACAAGTGTCTGTCACTGTAACAACATAATTGTTCCTCTTACTCTATGGCGGAAATAAACAGAAATGAAAAGGAAAGAGAGAGCTTCAAATTGTGCTCTCCTCCGCCTGGCAGTTTCCCAAGATGCCTCAGCTGTAGACAGCCTGCATGGACAACCTTCTTGAACCTGAATTAAAAAAAAAAAAAAAAAAAGCCCAGACCTGAGTATAGTCCTTTCTTCCCACTTAACTCCCAAGGATGGAGGGAGACAAAAACGTGAGTAACGTGTAAAACCATTTATCTTAGTGGTCAGGGACTGGCAGCCTGCTGGTCACGTACTGCCTGGAGAGGTGCTGCCTGCCCAGACAGTTTCTTAAAAATTAGAATTAGCCACAGACATTTAAAAAGCAAGGGATTTCACATACAAATCCAGGCTGCAAGTTTTTGCCAAGTTTAGAAGACCTGCTCCTGGGCCTGCTTTCCCTGAAGACAACCAGTGCCTGGCGCTGCCCCTGTGGATTCGGCCCACATTCTCTGCTTTGCCACAGTCCCCACCACACCCTAGTAATGCCCTTGCCCGCTTTATTTGTTTATATTACCTGCCTGCCCACTCTAGGCGTTGAGTTGATGATCCTCATTTAACTGTTACAGATGCCAGAGGTAAAAGGACTACTCCATGGTTTGTTTGACAATATTATTTAAATTCCTGCTCATACTTGTGATTCTCTAGCTGTGTGTGCAATATTTTTAGAAGGGTGTTTGCCACATAATAATTGCTCTCCTGGTTGACTTTGAAGATTCACCCTTTCTCCAGCTAGTCACTGGAATTAGGAAGAAAGCCTATTAAAGAAGAGGCAAAATTGCTAGGCAATGCCATTCACTCTGAAACGCTGCTGGTGAGCAGTTGTTGATAGGTGAACAGAGCTGGAATAGAATCTAGTGCGGGGTGTGGGGTCAGACCGTCTATTCCCAGACACGCACTTGCTGAAGCTCCCCCTGTCTCCTGGAACAAACCAAAGAGCAGGCCCTACGTGGAACCCTGCCGAGCTCCTGTGGTCTATGCGGTCAG